ACTGTCCAAAAATATCTCAAATGAAAGGACCTTCCTCTCTCAATTCATATACATGGCTAGCTACATGTATGACCTGTCTTGAGATGAATATGCAAATTATTTCACTTAACTTTAAATCTCCTTTGATCTGAAAGATATATGGACACTTTCAAACATTCCCGTGATTATTTTGTGACAGTAAAACCACCTCTGATGTAAGGAAGTTGCATGAATAATGTAAATGCTCACAGACAGATTAAGTCTTCCAGAGATAATTATGGAAACCCAATATCTAATTTTTGATCGCTCACATCATGGATTTACTCAGAGAGCACAGGCCTCGCTTTGATCTGTAATTACCCAGGCCTCATCTGAACATATGCGATGGAGAACATGAGGGTAACTTCGACAAGGGAGCCTCCGAAACGTCCACCTTCTTCCTCAACCGAGGATTCCCAAGCACTGTTGTCAACAGGGCCCTCAAATGGGTCCGACCCATCTCCCACACTTCCGCTGTCAACCCTTCCCTTCCCTCCCGCAACAGCAATAGGGTTCCCCTTGTCGTTACCTACTATCCCACCAGCATCCACATCCAGAAGATCATCAGAAACTACTTCCGCCATCTCCAGCGAGATGCCACCACCATTCCCCTCCCCTTCCTTGACCACCTTCCGCAGGGACTGTTCCCTCTAGGACACCCTGGTCCACTCTTCCTTCACCCCCAATAACCCCTCACAGTCCCACGGCACCTTCCCCTGCAACCGGCAAAGGTGCAACACCTGCCCGTTTACCACCACCTTCCCCAGTGTCCAAGGGCCCAAACATACCTTCCAGGTGAAAAATCTAGTCTACAGCATTCACTGCTCACAATGTGGTCGCCTCTACATTAGGGAAACGAAGCATAGACTGGGTGACCGCTTCGCAGAACAGCTACATTCTGCCCGCAAAAAAGAGCTTCCAGTTGCCTGCCACTTTAACACGCCACCCTGTTCCCTGGCCAGCATCTCTGCCTCTGGCTTTTTGCAGTGTTCCAGCGAAACTCAACGCAACCTGAAAGAACAACACCTCATTTTCCACTTGGGGACCCTGCAGCCCTCCAGATTTTGGTTTTTTCCCTCTCTATTCATTTGTGGGATGTGGGTGTCACTGGCTGGCTAGCATTTCTTGTCCATCCCTAGTTGCCCTTGAGACGGTGGTGGTGAGCTGCCTTCTTGAACTGCTGCAGTCCTCCTACTGTGGGTTGATCCACAATGCTGTTAAGGAGGGAATGCCAGGATTTTGACCCAATGACAGTGAAGGAACTGCAATATATTTCCAAGTCAGGGTGGTGAGTGACTTGAAGGGGAACTTGGAGGTGGTGATGTTACTGTATGTCTGATGCCCTTGTCCTTCTCGATGGATGTGGTCGTTGATTTGGACGGTGCTGTCTGAGGATCTTTGGTGAATTTCTGCAGTGCATCTTGTAGATAGTACAGACTGCTGCTACTGAGCGTGAGTGGTGGAGGGAGTGAATGCTTGTGGATGTTGTGCCAATCAAGCGAGCTGCTTTGTCCTGGATGGTGTCAAACTTCTTGAGTGTTGTTGAGGCTGCACTCATCCAGGCAAGTGGGGAGTATTCCATCACACTCCTGACTTGTGCCTTGTAGATGGCAGACAGGCTTTGAGGAATCAGAAGATGAGTTACTTGGCACACTATTCCTCGCTTCTGGCCTGCTCTTGTAGCCGTTGTATTAATGTGGTGAGTCCAGTTGAGTTTCTGGTCAATGATAACACCCAAGATTCAAGATTGAGTTGAATAATTTTTGGGCCTAAGCTCTCCCATGTCCTAGCCCCCTACCCCACACACCAGACCTTTTTAATCACATAGCCTGCCGTTACACACTACCTATTGTTAGTCACTAACAGTCCCGATTAATGTCTATTCACCCTCGTAGCCAGATCATTATCAACTCCTTTGCATATCCAGCTGCTCTTCTCTCACTTCAGGCTCTATCCTTTATCCTATTGTTTACTCCCTACCCCATCCCCTCCCTATTTTCTGCATATAAACCAATGTTTTCCCAGCTACCATCAGTTCTGAGGAAGGGTCACTAGACCCGAAATGTTAACTCTGATTTTTCTTTTCTTCACAGATGCTGCCAGACCTGCTGAGCTTTTCCAGCAACTTTGTTTTTTCTCTTGGTTTACAGCATCCACGTTTCTTTTCTTTTGGTTTTTATTCTTTCATTTATCCCATATTTAAAATTATAATTATCAAATCTAAGAGTAATCCTATGGTATATGGCATTTGTGCCAAGTCCCAACTCTCAGTTTCACTTTATACAATCTATTCTTCTGTGTCCAAATCATGGTGTTCCACCCCCAGACAATTTAGTGTAAATCTTCCCTAGTAGTGCTAGTATATCTTCCTGCAAGGACATTGGTCCCCATCCTGCTGAGTTGTAACCTTTCTCCTTCAAATAGGTGCCTTCAGAACCAGAATTGGTCCCGTTGCCCCAAGATCTTGAGCCCGCCCTCTTGTGACATGGTTTAACATAGAAAATTTAAACATACAATTTAGGAGCAGGAATAGGAGTAGGCCACTCGTCCATCGAACGTGCTCTGCCATTCAATTTAATCATAGGTGATCGTCCAATTCAGTACCCTGTTCCCTCTTTTTCTCCCCATGTCGTTTAATCCCTTTAGCCCTTACAACTATATCTACATCTTTCTTGAAAGTCTTCAATGTTATGGCCTCCACCGCTTCCTGTGGGAGAGAATTCCACAGGCTCATCATACTCTGGGTGAAGAACTTTCTCCTCCTCTCTGTACTAAAAGGCCTATCCATTTTTCTTTACACTGTGCCTCTGCCTCTGGTTCTGGACTCCCCAGTCATCGAGAGCATCATTCCTGCATCTACCCTATCTAATCCTGCTGGTATTTTGTAGCTTTTAATGAGATTCCCTCTCATTCTCCTAAATTCTAGTGAATATAGTCCTAACTAATTCAGTGTCTCCCCAAATATCAGTTCTGCCATCCCAGGAATCAGTCTGGTACACCTTCTTTGCACTCCCTCAATGGCCAGATTAAGGTGTTAGTTCAGTTGGCTGGACAACTGGTTTACTGTACAGAGTAACACTAACACTAGATTCAATTCCCGCACTAACTGAGGTTATCACGAAGGACTGTCCTCCTTAACCTGCCCCCTTGCCTGAGTTATGGTGAGCTTCAGGTTAAACCACCAGCAGTGATCGCTGTCTAAGGGGAGAGCAACCTTATGGTCCAGTAGGCCTACGATTACTTTGCCTTTTACCAATAGCAAGAATATCTTTCCTCCGAAAAGGAGATCAAAACTGCACACAGTGCTCCAGGAGTGGCCTTACCGATACCTTGCACAGCTGCAGCAAGTTATCCCTGCTCCTGTACTTAATTCCCTTGCTATGAAGGCCAGCATACCATTTGTCATCTTCACTGCCCACTGCACTTGCATGCTTCCTTTGTGATTGGTGTACAAGGCTACCCAGGTCTCATTGCATTACCCCTTTCCCAACCTATTGCCATCCAAATAAGCCACATGTTGAACCTCAGTGTCTTCTTATTTGTGTGCCAAAACTGATAGCTCTGCAGAATATTCTGTACCATCTCCATGATGTCCTTGATTCTTGCAACAGGGAAGGAGCACAGCATGCAGAATTCTCAATAACAGTTTTAAAATTACCTGTCTCTTACTCCTTCAAGAGGCCATCCAACTATATTCCCTTGATGCTTAGTGGCATATTCATCCCTGAGCTGGGTAGCCCTTTCTTAGTAGGCTTCCTTCCAATTGAACCAGGCAAACAAGAACATCTCCAAATCAGTCACTGTTCAAAACAGTCCTAACCATGGTCTGTTGCAAGGCAGGCAGTTATGTGATGTATAAGAAGCTATTTATTTCAAAAAAAGATCTCCAATCTGTAATATCCATATTGAACTTCCAATTATCTCTTTTAAAGACAGCGCTCCAAGTATTTCCAGAAAACTTTAAATCAGTTTTCCATATTCTTTCAAAACTTAAGTCTTCCAAGCAATATTCAATAAAAAGTGACTCAGTTCAATATGACTCAGCAAATTAAGATTTTTTTTGCAGTCTGTACGAAGTCCATTGAGATCCACCAGTTAGGCTGCATGCAGTCCATATTTTCCTAAATGCAGTTTCAGGACAATCTGTATTGCAGAGGGATCTCTTATCATTGTGCTTATTTCAGGTACAGTCTTTGAAGTATTGTTTTTATTCCCAAAGTGTATGGAAGATGGTGTGCTTCCAGTTTGAAATGGCTGCACATTTCCTACCCACCGTATTGGAGCCGTAGGAGGCTGGTTAGTGCCTTAAAAATATACAAACTGTGCAACTGAAGTACTCAGCCTATATTCATGCATCACTGGGATTATCTTTGTAAATATATGTTGTACTTTACAGCAGTTCTTTTACTACACTGGTGTATCGCTATCTCTGGGCCGGAAAGTTTGGGTTCAGGTCACAATGTGCAAAGGAGTGTCATGACATGTCCAAACAAGTTAATTAAAAATAGTTGCATTGTATTTTTTTCCATGTCTCCAATGTCCTTTTAAGAAAGGGCTAACTAAGCTTAACACCAAACTTAATTTAGTTGTGGTTTGAACACAGCCTGGTGAAGGTTCACCATCAGCCCTGTTATCTTCACCACTTGGGCAGGATGTTAGTTTATGCTTTTAATTACACACTCTTCAATGGCAAGTCTTGTTCTTTGTGTATCTCTGAGAATAAGCTCATATCGACTGCTGTGTTTTCTCAACTATCAGTCAAAGTTGTACGTGGCCCATTGCATATGAGCATACCAGGTGCTCTATCTATATGTCCCCAGTGGGAGCAGTTGAAATATACCTCGTTCCTATTTGTTTATAACTGGAAAAACAATGCAAACTTTGTTCCTAAGCAATAGTCTTATTCATCAGTCATAATAATGCAACATATCTATAAATATTGTACATTTCTAATTACAATTTATATTTTTTTCTTTTATCAGACTTAAAAAGAGAAGCCAGTATCTGTCATATGCTGAAACATCCACACATTGTAGAACTTCTAGAAACATACAGCTCGGATGGAATGCTCTATATGGTTTTTGAATTGTAAGTGAACTGAATTCACATTCCTGATGTCTTGTAGTCTTTTGTGGCCGTCTTTGGTAGTTTTTGACGGTCTTTGGTAACAATAGTCTTTGTTCTTCTCTCAGGCTGATGTAGGAGAACTCCTTGTCTTTCCCCGAGAAAATCGTGGCTTATTTCCCTGGATCTTCTTGTAAACATCTCTCCCTACCTGTCCTGATTGGTATACCTTATTTTTGAGGCTAACCATCTATACTGTGCCAATCACCTGTCTAAACCCTCTTAGCTAATGACCATGGGCAGCTACTCATGATGCCAAAATGAGTGTTTGCCCATCTCCATTTTGAAGGTTAGTTTTTATTCCTTCAAAGAACAAAATCTTCTTACCTTTTCAACTCCATATTCACAATATGGTAGTGTGGCACCTGATAAATATTTTGTTTATGCTAGTCGAAGGATAATTACAATTTTAACACAATTATTTGAGGTCTCATGTGACACAGAAAGTACTAACTTTGGAATACCAAAAGCAAACCGTTTCAAAGGGGACCCCAATTTCCAACAACTAGATTTAGTTGGTAACGATTTTAATGGTTGTTTGTTAAGGACCTATTCTAAATGTGAGCACATAATCTTCTAAGGCAAACCAGTGCAATACTGACGAAGCTATTATTGCTTGAAGTTCTTTTCTTTTTCATAAGACATTAGCCAGTCAGTGCTCTGTTGTCCAAATGGACGTTAACAAACGCACAATGTTTTTGAAAGAATAGCAGGGAATTCATCTGTCCTGGTTAATGTTTCTCCCTCAATCAAGATCATCAGAAAATGGAAAAAAAATTAACATTATTTGTCTCATTGACTTTTGTGGGATTTTGAAATAGCAACAGTCATGAGTTTATTAAATGTGGTTTACTTTGAGCTGTTTTGATATGGAAGATTGTTACAGCAGACCAGGCAATGGGTCATGATTTTGTTTTGTTCCTTCACACAACATGGGGATTGCTGACTTGTCCAACATTGCTTCCAATTTCAAATTGTCCTCAAGAAGGTGGTGGTGAGCCACATCTCTGGACTGCCTATGTCTATATGGTGTAGGTACACTCGGTGCTGTTAGACTGGAAGTTGCAGGTTTTGATTTCGTGACACTGACCGAATAGCAGCATCGTTCCAAATTAAGGTGCTTATGGTTTGCATGCTCCTATGCATCTATTGCCCTTGTCCTTCTAGGTGCAGTGGTCATGAATTTAGTAGTTGATGTCAAAGGAGCATGTGTGAGTTGTTGTAGTGTATCTTGTAGATGGTTCACACTACTACCACTGTGCATCAGTGGTGGAGGGAATGAATTGTTAAGGAGTGGATGGGGTGCCACTTGAGCAGGCTTCCTTGTCCGAGATGTGTGTCAAGCTGCACGCATCCCAAAAGAAGTGGAAAGCATTCCCGTCATTCTTCTCTTTTTTTTAAGGATTTTGTCAGGCTTTGGGAGATAGGGGTACTCTCTACAAAAATCTATTAACATTCCCCAAATGGTTTCCTTAAAATGCAGACATAAAAAACTGGCTATCCAACCCAATCAGCACATGTCGGCATTCCGCTCAGACTTTTTCCCATCTGTCCTTGTCTAAACCTATCATGGTAACAATTAAAGACTAAATAACTGGAATTTGTCACTACAAACCTTGAGATTGTCTCCTTGAATCAGAAAATGTTTATGTTGCTAATTTTCAAAAAATTGTGACATGTTATATTCCAGGGGATGTACAAGCCTATAAAATCTGATGCTGGTCATCAATACGATGACTAAAGAAAGCACAAGCATTACTTTATATGATCTTTGAGTTAGTGAAGTTATTATCAGTGACAGTGAACAAGAATTTTGGAAAAGGAAGTTGTCAGATCCCAGTATGCATGCATGATAGCTCCAGCTAAGGCAGGTTTGGAGTTGAGTGATGAAATGGAGGTAGAAATAGTAATAACATGGGTGTTACTATGTTACTATGTCTATATACTAGTCAGAATTTACTCTGTGTTAGATGTGTTATCTAGGTTACAAATGACCTGATTCAGCCTCCGACAGCTTCCAGAAAGAAAGATAGTGTCACTGGTAAGAAATAGTTTGTGGAGGAGGCTGAAGACGACTACTTCAATCTTCTCACTATTTAGAGAGATTTCTGCTTATCTGGTATTGGGAGTTGAATAAGCAATCCAGCAGTGTAGGGATAGTAGAGGTCAAGAGTGGTGATATGGTAGCACTAGGTGTCGCATGTGGAAGCTAAAATACTGTGATTTTGGAAGATGTCACCAAGGAGCAGCCCATGGATGTGAATTAGAAAGAGGCCAAGGGTAGATCCTTGAGGGAAGGCGTTAATGGTGCAGGAACAAGAAAATAAGCCACTGCATGTAATTCTTTGTCCACAACTGGAAAGTGATTGAATCTGGTATATTTGGGTTGAGCTGGATGATAGTGGAGAGACCTTAGAGGAGGAAGATGTGTGATTAGCCATGCCAAAGATTGTAGTCAGGTGAAAAGGTACCTTTGTCATAATAACAGTAGTTATAACTTGTGACTTTCAGAGGTCAATCCAGTACTATGGCTGATGCAGGAACACAATTGAAGTGATTCAAATGTGAAGTTCTTGGAAAGATGAACATGGACTGCTTCCTTCTGTAGCACTGTTTGACACTCTTTCATGTTTTTATTCAGTCATTGAATGAGACCATCACTGACTATGCCAGCATTTGTTGCCCATCCCTAAGCACCCTTGAACAGAGTAGCTTGCTAGACCATTTCAGAGAGCATTTGAGAATCGACCACACTGCTAAGGATCTAGAGTTACATGGAGACCACACTACATAAGAATAGCTGCTTTCCCTCTGTTAAGGGCATCAGTGAAACAGATCAGTTTTTCTTTGACAATCGAGAATGCCTTAAGTTAGCCTTTTCATTCCAGATATTTATTGAATTTTTAAATTCCAGCATCTGCCAAGGTGGGATTTGAACCATTGTCACCAAGATTTCTGGACCATTAGTACAGCGGTATTACCACTACACACTGCCTTCCTGTTTTGTTTTTATATTATGTTGATGATGCACTCATGCCAGTTTAATTTTAACTTTACATTGAGGATATTAAATAGAGGCCTGACAAGGTGCAATGTGTCTCCTTTAAACAGATGCCCCCTGCTGTGGAACTAGTCCCAATGCCTCAGGATTCTGTAGCCCTCCCTTCTGTGACATGCCGGTTATTAATCCTTTTTCTATTTTACTGACTGGTATCAGGCATTACCTTTTTTGAGGTTTTCCCTGGCTCCTAAACGTCTAACAAAAAGGCTTCACTATTTACCCTCTCTATGTCATTGGTACTGACTCCATTCCTCCTATCGAATATTCAGCACTTTCTTCCATGATGTATTTTTGCCCAGCCATCATAGATGCAAAATGCTGGATAGGATAGAGTCTAGAGCTGTACAGCATAGAAACAGACCATTCAGTCCAGCTCGTCCGTGCTGACCAGATATCCCAAATAAATCTAGTCACATTCGCCAGCATTTGGCCGATATCGCTCTAAATCTTCTTTAAGTATTTACCTGTCCAGATGTCTTTTTGAATGTTGTAGTTGTACCGGCCTCCTCCACTTCCTCTGGCAACTCCATTCCATACGTGCACCACCCTCTGCGTGAAAAAGTTGCTCCTTAGGTCCGTTTTATATCTTTTCCCTTCTCACCTTAAACCTATGACCTCTATAGTTTCAGCCTCCCTTGGGGAAAGGGCCTTGGCTGTTCACCCTTATCCATGCCCCTCCATGATTTTATAAACTTCTGTAAGGTCACCTCTCAGCCTCCAATGCTCCAGGGAAAATAGCCCCAGCCTGTTCAACCTCTCCCTGTAGCTCAAATCCTCCAAACAGGGCAACGTCCTCGTAAATGTTTTGTGAACCCTTTCAAGTTTCACAACATCTTTCCTATAAGCTGGGATGATTATAGAAATACCTATCTCTTGTCCCTAATTATGGAATCTACATTTTTTATAATTAAATTAGTGACATTTCTCTGCTTTCCAGTTCTGCTGTATGCAGTCCCTTGCCCATTGATGCCATGGTCTGACTGCACTCAATCAAGGTGTTTTTCACTCGCTGTACTCTCCATTACTGTATAGTATTTTGAAATTTGAACACACCCGCCAGACTCCTGCAATATTTTCTCAGTTTGCTTGTGGGACACAGGCATCGCTGGTTGGGCTAGTATTTGTTGCCCGTGAAAGTTAGTTTGAACCGTTGCAGTTAATTTGCTATAGGTAGACCCACAATGTCATTTGAGAGGGAATTGCAGGATTTTGACCCAGTGCCAATGAAGATATGGCAACATATTTCTAAGTCAGAATGATGAGTGGCTTGGAGGGGAACTTGCAGGTGTTGGTGTTCCCATGTATTTTCCTGTCCTTTTCTACTTTATAGGTGGCTATCCATCTACTTTTCTGATTTCTCTCTATCTTGAGTGGTCAACTTCCAAAGCTATGTTTCAGAAACCTCTTGGCCTCATGTTCCACAGTGACTCCAGCTGCCCTTCAAGTCAGCAAAGTCTGAGCTTGGGTTTAAACAATGTCCTACACAGTCTCGCATGTAACGAGTAAAATTAATACAGAGAAATATGAAGTGTTGAACTATTGAAAGAAAAATGGAGTAATTTGAATTAAGTGGTAGGGTTTTAAAAGCAGTGCAAGAAAAAAGGAACATTTTTGAATGTCATTCAAGTTGTTAAAACTGTTTCAAAATGCACACAATAATTACGCAAATTAATAGTTAAGCATCAGCTGAATTATTGAGCCCAATTCTGGGCACTGGATTTAAGAAGGATGTCATGGCCTTGGGAGAGGGTTGGGATGAGATTTATTGGAATGATTCCAGGGATTAGAGGGACTAGAGAAGCTGGAATTGTTCTCTTCGAGCAGAAATGTTAAGAGTGGAGATTTAATAGAGTTGCTAAAAATTGAGGTATTTTGATGTGGGAGATGGGGTGAATTTCTGCTT